CTGAACTCGAAGTACTGGTTCTTGACCATTTTCCGCACCTCCCAGTGACATTGGAAGACCCAGCCACGTACATCGATTGTCTCGGTAAATCTGAGGCCGACAGTAGCCTCTTTGTCCAGACCATCATCGCCCTCAATTCCCTTACAGGCTGGGTGGATCCCGATCCAGTTCGAGACGGTGGTCACAAAGTCATAGACCACATGGGCGGGCTTGTCGATGATGATTTCACACTGGCTCTTGAATGAGGACATAGTCGCGGAATATGGAGGATGGTATGTTTGTCAAAAGAGCAAGCGATGCTGGAAGATTGACAATCCTGAGCGCGGGCACAAGGGTAGTGTGATGTTGACTATCGCTCACTGCTGGGTTATTTATCTTTGTAATGGCAACTTGACCGTGGTAGACTGGGATGCTCTATCGGACATAACTATCGAAAGACAGTGCATGCAACTGAAAGACAGTGCATGCAACTGAAAGACAGTGCATGCAACTGAAAGACAGTGCATGCAACTGAAAGACAAGGAGATGCAACCAGGGAGCTCGAACAAGTAAAGAGCAGCAGCCTGTGATTTATCAAAAATAGAGTCATCCTATGCGAGTGGAAATGATGCAAGATTGGCACAAGCCTGTGTCTCCCCTTCTATTGTTACTGAACGGCCATTTGGTCGTCCGTACGCCATACAGATGCCTACCTGTTTATGCATCCACATGATGGTCTAGAGCAAAGAAGGAGGATAGGGCACCAATGCATATAGACCAATCACAAAAGTAGAAGCTTTTTATCGGTGCGGTTATTCACAGTCCTGAATCGGCATATTCGCCACACCTATACTAGTCATAACTAGGGTTAACATATTTTGAAATTATCTTCTAATCAGCCAGGCACGTGATGGTTCATCGGTGAAAGAATGATCGAGATACTACCAAGGCTTAGAGAAAGAAATTCAAAAATTTCCCATTTAGGTGTCCACCTTTTTTGCAGCGTGATGAATATAGACCTGTCGTCAACACGAATCAATTACGCTTCACCACCACTCGGCCATTATCGAGAATACATCTAGATTTACGCATTTCAAAACCACACTCTTCCAGCTTCGTAGTAGAGTAATACGAGGGCACTGCATGGTTCGAACACAACCCCAATTGCTGGGATCCACAGCAGACAAAAAATTCGCCCGACCAAGGTCTCATGCCAGATCGCGTGATGGTAGTAGAATACCATGCACCATGTCAATAGGGCCACCGCAGAAATGCTTTAGTCCCATTGGAGGAAGTGCTTGACCCCTTGCTTGTCTTCTGCAGCCTGCTCAGCTGCCCAGAACAGCCTGCGCATAACGAGGGTTTCCACGCCAATTTGGACGAACGGCCACCAATGATGACTAGCGTAAGGTGGGAGATAGCGGAACAGGCAAATGTGAAAGCAAATGCAGACGCCCCTTCTTGAAAACCGTGAGTTCTGTAAGATGCAGGAGATGTGAGCCACTGCAAGATGGCAACTGAGACCACTGCTGCTTCATACCAATCGATACACAGTCTGGGGCGGCCCGACGGGCAAATAAATCTAGTAGCTTGGAATCCTGTAGCGTGACCCCTTCATGGATTACAATAGACCTCTTATGTCCGGTATATATCGGAGAGGGTGGTAATTCCTTCGGCACGCATAGATCTTTATATCTACTGACCATGAAAGTTGCGGTCATTGGAGGCGGGCCATCGGGTCTCGTTACCCTCAAATACTTGCTGGCCGCACACCACTTCCAGCCGGTCGACCCAATCGAAGTACAGCTGTTTGAATCAGAAGATCGAGTGGGAGGCACCTTTTCCTATCGCACCTACGATAGGGCTGAGGTAATGTCAATGCTGCTAATTAGAGTCAACCGCTAAATAAGGCACAGCTCGTCTCGTCCGCCCAGTTGACCACCTTCTCCGACTACCGCTGGCACGATAAATCTATTGACTACCTGTCTGTAGTGGAGTATGTTGAGTACCTGGAGGGCTACTGTGACCGATTCGGGCTCTGGCCACATATCCGCCTCTCGACACAGGTCGAGAAGGTCGAACGCACGGGCAAGGGAGGACACCGAATCACTGTCTCACACGGAGGGCAAACACGCACCTGGGACTGCGATGCCGTCGCGGTGTGCTCCGGACTGCATGTCAAGCCCAACACCCCGTCCATCCCCGGGCTGGACCACGTGCCGGTGGTCTTTCACTCGTCCGAATACAAAAATGTCCGGCAGCTGGGCCAGAACACTAACGTGATGGTTCTAGGGACTGGGGAGACGGGGATGGACATCGCATACTTCTCAGTGACGGCTGACTCGACCAAATCCACGACTGTGTGCCACCGCAATGGATTCGTGATTGGGCCCAAGGTAAGTCGGTGACCGCGTACACTCCTTCAGGACGCTGACCCGCAGCATATAGAGATTACCTGAGATCAAACTGTTCGGCCGAGCAACCTGCAAGACGCCCGGGAGGGCGCTTCCGGTTGATCTCAGTCGGCCCTACCTCTTCGTGACCTCGTATGCCCACCGCAAAGTCCGTGGAGCCCTTCAGACCACGCTGTCCCGATGGACGGTCAAGGCTGGCTCCTGGCTGGGGACTGGCACCGCCCGGGGATTCGACCAGTGGGTGGGCAGTTTGTCGACGGAGAAATATGATGAGTCCCATTGTACGTCCGATCGGGATGGGTATTGATGGCGGAGAGAGAAAAGAGCAAGAGCCCACCACTAATATATCTCCTAGACTTCTATTGCAAGTCCACCAAGGCCATGCCGTACATCAGTGCTCCCTACCGATCGCACAGCTGGGTCCACCGTCTGCGATCCAGCATCATTCAGGCCGTCCTGCCCGACACAGGGTCCCGGAAGATTGACCTGGCGCCCTGGCCCGAGTACATCGATGAGGACGGGGTGGTGCACTTCGAGAAGAGCAGCCGCCCGGAGAGCAAGGTATTGCTTCAGGAGCCATGCTGCAAGCCCGATGTGCTGGTGTTGGCGACTGGATACACCCAGTCATTTCCCTTCCTGGGCTCAGAGTATTGCACGCCCGATCACGCCGATCAGCGCGGCATCTGGCGGACGGGCGATGCATCCGTCGGCTACATTGGCTTTGTGCGACCCAGCTTTGGTAGGATGACATTCCTTCCCCCCTCTCCCCCTTCATCACCGGGTGATTAACAACCAATTAATCAACAGGTGCCATTCCACCACTGGCCGAGATGCAAGCCCAGGTCTGGGTGTTGAAACTCATTAATCGCCTACCCGGCCCTCTCGTCGCGGACGATTCCTACCGTCTTTTCAGCAACCCAAGCGGTCGCATTGGATATGGAGTCGACCACGATCTGTTTGCCCACCGACTAGCCTTGGATATTGGTGCATCCCCCTCGTTCTTCCAGGCCCTCGCCCATGGGTGGCAGGTGACCGTGTTCTGGGCCATGGGGGGCACCCTGAACACCAAGTTTCGCCTCGCCGGTCCGTGGGCATGGTCCGGGGCGCCAAGAGTCATCCGTGATGAGCTTCTGGAGACTGTCACGGGTCGGAGATCAACCATCGGTAAGTGTTACCTGCGCTACCCACGCTGATGCATGCTAAAGCTACCTAGAATTAATCGCCCAGCTTATCATAAACATGATTCTATGCGGCATACCGAGCTTTCTGCTATGTCTGGCAGATCTGCTCGTGGCCTTCTGCGTCCGGATCTACCAGGCTAGTTCCGTAGTGATGTCTTCTCGACCCTCAAAGGGAGGTTCCGAAGTAACAGAGAACCGCAGCTAACATAATTTGTCGAAGTATGTGGTAACTTCCCTCCTAGAATTGGCTGATTCATTGCCCGCTTTTCCTGGGTTATGTTTCTGTATGTAACTCTGGATGAATCATGAACTCGAGCGTGTAACGGCCAGGTATCTGGTGCACAGGCCATGGGGAAGCCTTAGCAGAGACCCCTACTTTTTACTATTGTCATCTATCAACCTGATCATCGTCGTGGCCCTATTAGACATCTTCAATACTAGGCTATATAGATAGTGCTAGATGCGAAACAGTTCACTAGTGAGTCGCCCACTCCGAAGCGCATAGAAACTGATATCTCAACAAACACCGCTTTGATTTATTCTGGTATATATGCCAATACCAAATAAGCATACTCCATAATGGTTGAATATCAAAAGAATCCGAAAGTTTGATTATAACGACATGATAATTTATGGCTCATTTTAGCTACATGAGCTAGAAATATGAGCATCGGAATTATCCTCTCACCAAAATTGCTGAGAGTTCACCCAGGTACTACGTTAACCATATAGAAAATGACTTTGAAATTTGCTATCTATAAGCTCCGGTCGCTACAATATGTGAAAAAAGTATTCACTAGGGTGTTTTGGGATTGGTGACTCGGTAGGATGGGCGACCCACTAGGGAATCACTCGAAATCTAATAGGCTGAGTGAGCTTGGAGGGAATATAGCACTGACCAGCTTTGAAAGGTCCTGTGGCTAACCACGTAAGGCCCTTGAGGGCTCACACTTTTGGGAATAATATCCGATTCTCAATTTTCTTTTGGTGCGAGACCGTATGGAGGGAAATCTAAATTCCACCAATACTAATCATAAGCCAGTATGTGAAAGCACGAAGCCCCCAAGTGATAGAGAACACCTAATTGAATGCTGAATCTTAGTACTTATGGCAATCGGTTTCCTAGGCGCCTGTAGAAAATATTCAATGATGTAGATGATAAACACAGAGATGATGCCGTCGGTTTGACCGAGCACGGAATATGAAAGATGTCAAAGAGCGGTGTGGACAGTCTACGACATACTCGATCTTGCATGCCACTAACGTATGTAGAAGGTAAGGAAGTCACTACTGACGAATACGTGGATTCATGCAGTCGATTTGGAAATGGCCATCAGCATAAGACATAAAGACAAGATGCTGTCCCTGTACTGTGCTGATCCACAATACATATCGGGTCTCTTTATGCTGTTGAGACCAAATCACCATGACCAAAACTTTGTCAACTATTGGTGACATGGTTCGAGGAATCGAATTGCCTGATGCAGACCAGCAGTTCTGGTGGAACTCATTAGCTCCCATTCTGAGCCGAATGCTTCAGTGTTCTAAGTACTCAGTCGAGAGCCAAGCGAATATTCTCTCTTTCTTCAAAGATTCCATTGTCCCCTCCTACGGGCCGCGGCCCTCAATTGACGGCGAATTCTTCTGGAAGAGCTATGTAACATTTGATCATACTCCAGGTCAGGTTAGCTTCAATTTTCACAAGGATAAATGCACGGTGCGTCTCAGCAATGTGCCTACGGCTGCTCTGGCAGGCACCGCATCCGACCCATTCAACCAGAAAGGCGTTGTGCAGACAATCAAGCAGATCCAAAACACACTGCCCTACATGGATGTGACTCTCTTTGACTATTTCAGCGAAGCCTTCCTTGTCGCCGATGAAGATACAGTTGGCCTTGATGCTAGAAAGCCCGTGCCACAATACAATCAGCTGGTTGTTGCATCGATGTTAGGTTACGATTTCGAACCTGTACCCCGGGTTAAAGTGTATTTCAACCCGCGATGGAAGGCCCTCCAGATGAACATCGAGAATCATGATTTGATCTGGACAGCGATCAATAATCTAGGATCCCAGATAAAGTCACATAAAAGAACTCTGGATCTGCTCCAGGAATGCGGAAGCCCTAAACAGCCGGGTGGATGGATATTTCAGCCAGAGTTCATCAGCTTTGACTTGGCCGAAAATATGGCAAATACCGCAAGACTGAAGCTGTATGGCTTCACGACCAGGACTTGTTGGTCCCATATTGAGAAAGTTTACACGCTGGACGGACGGCTTAATGATGCCGAGACTCAAAGGGGATTGGCGGTGCTGAAGAGGCTATGGCATCTTGCTCTTTCGATCCCAGATAATCATGATGAGAGCCAGGATCTGCCCCGATGCCCCCACCTGACTGCCGGGGTCATTTACAACTACGAATTGCGTGAGAGCAGTGACAAACCCGAGGCTAAGATATACATCCCTGTGAGGTTCTACGGTTCTGGAGACGGAAAGGTCATTGAAGGGTTAGTGGAGTTTTTCAAGAGTGAGGGCTGGGATGAGCTCGCCAGCTCATACCAAAGAGACTTTGTGTCTGTTTTGTAAGTTTTCCTGTCCTCTCTGTATAGAGATACTGACGATTTCTTTCCTCAGCTCCACCCCTGATGGGAAGATGGTTGGAGAGCACCATGATATTTCCTTTTCCTACAAGAATGATCACCCGTATATTACCGCTTATTATCGACCAGAGTTGATCAGACCAATGGAGCGCCACATAGTCTAGGCAATAGCTAACTACTTGCAAAATTATAGCCCTTTCCCTGAATTTCCTAATGGCACTATTGGTAGAATGATAGAGTAAAATGATACATTAAAAGTAACCTAGTGTACTCGAGCTTGACGAACAGCTGACGAAATTTTCAGCCATACCCCGAGATGCGTATCACGTATCACGTTTCAACGTCAAATTTCATTGGAGATAAATACCTGTAATAGCACATAAATTATCTAATGCATTACCATTTGTAGAATATAGCTACATGGCTGGAGCTGAGCCTACTATAGCATATAAAAAGAATTTCCTTCCTTGGCAAAACCTATCTCTTGCTTGCATTCTCGCTCTTCATCAAATTTTTAGACAATGCTGCCCAGTAGAGTGCAAGTGCTATACTACAAGGACCAAACGCCAGGCTCATTATAGCGATTTGAGATGAGAGAGAGAAAAAGACTATCCACCCCTTGTCTTTCATTCTGTCTTCCCAATACACATCATAGCACCACAGCAGAGTCCCCGTGGATGAGATAATATAGTCCCAGTGCAGAAATCTCAAGACTCCAGACTCTAGCGATGTGATTTTCACCTCCTGCCATGGAAGTCTGGGGGTCAAGAGGCTCCGTGGGTGAAGGTCTGCCGAGTGCAGCGACAAGAAAGGGCTCTTAGGAGATATCGAAAGGAATGAGATCAAAAGAAGGCTAACGTGGCTAGTGATGGAACACGCAAGGGCAAAGGCGTAAGCGTGCCTGAACAGTTGCTGTGGGCGACTTCGTCTAAAACGATGCGTTAAGGAGTGTGCAATTCCAACGGCAAGTGCAACATAGAGGGGCCATCCCTGCCAAATGGCAATAAATAATTGTTTAGACGGAACAGATATGCTTGCAGGTGCTGGAAGACTGCTCAAGGCCAAGGGCAGTATATAACAGACGATCACTGACAGTGGAAGATAGTCTGGCCCCACTATATTTACCGCTGGTATACCGGAGATGGCAAATGCTTTCATGGATGTATTTCTGGTTGCTAGTAAAACACACATCATGAGCCCTGGACCGGTTCCTTGTACCAGGAGACCGGCAAGGGCATTTCTAATTTTGGAAGATCAGTATTACGCTATACAATGTGAGCCCATACGTAACTTACATCATGACTATTTCCACAATTGAACTCTTCGCGCATGTATGCATGAAGAGGATCAGCCACATCGGGATCATGGAGCCTGCGAATGCAATCGCATAGAGGGATAAAGCAGGTGAGGTACCATGGAAAATAGGCCAGAAAAAAACATTGCATGCCTTTAGGAATCCATCAAGCGGTCCCAAGCCAGTATAATGTGACCGAAGACCACCTTGAAGTCCAGCAAGAGAGTCATGAGAGCCCATGGTCGACAGAAGATCAATGAAGCCATTTTGAATGGATAAATAATACTTTGTATATAGGGCCACGGATGCGAGAATGATCAATATAGATCGTACGACACGGGACATTCCGAAAGAAACTAGATCGACGGTAGAGTGGTAGTGGTTATCAATTTGAAATATGGCGAAAAAGATCAGAGACGATCCGAATGGGAGATAGACGGCTTTGGTCACAGTGTCACGGGGTCTAGGGCTATTTTAGGGATATTACCGGAAAAGGCGGTGTCCAGCGATTTGCAATTATGCAGCTGCTCCCTTGCAGTCTGCAGCTGGCGCTTTCTTACTGTTTCATTTTATGTTTTTGCTTTTAATCCCTATCTAGATGTATTCGTAGCTCTTGAAAGCCCCCGTGAGAGATACTTTATGCAGTTTGTGCCGCATGATCCTGTTTGAGGAAAGTGGTTATAACCTCTCCAAGAGTTCAACTGTCTTTAACCAAGAACTAAAAGACTCAACTCTCCATCATGGACTATGTGGCCCAATCCCCGTGGATAGCGACCTTGATTGTAGCAGCAACGACTTACTGTACCCTGAGGTGGGTTCAATATTGGCATTCCTGGGTGTGTGTTATTGCTGTGAGATCCGACTACATTTACACCGAGGTCACTAACATATATACAGGTTAATGTGCCAGTGGTTGGCCGACGGGGCTTTCTGGGGTCATGGATCAGCGCAATTCTCTGGACATGGGAAGCACGTGGTTGCATCCAGAAAGGATACGAAAAGGTATTTCAATAGCCTTGACCCGGACCGGTATGCTAATGATGGGACTCTAGAATAAGAATTTTGCATTCCAGGTCTCTACCCCGAATGGATGGGAGGTCTGTATATGCAATGATGACATGATCAAGGAATACAAGAACTTGATGGATGATCAGATGTCGGCTCTGGCTGTCACATCGGAGGTATCCGCACTCCCGTCTTTCTATACCAGCCTCCCTGATTCGGATTTTTAATGCTTACCTTTTAGACCTTTCAAGCCAAGTATACCCTGCCTGGAGCACACTGGGGAGCAGTGCACAAACTGGTTCCTCAACCTGCGCTGGCCAAGTCATTAATGTGGCTGAGAAATCGCGCTGCTAACGATACTGACCCCTATTTCTCCGACTTTGTGAAGACTTTCCAACGGGCTTTCAAGGCGGAAATCCAGGTTGAGCAAGACGGTGCAGTCGATTTCTTCCGATAAAACCAGGCAGAGCCTAACTTGTAGTCTCCAGGCCCATTCGAATGGCAATCCTTCCCTTGCTTCCCACGGTACTCGCGCGTCGTCGCGGCCCTGACGGTCAAAGCGCTTCTCGGATCGTTGGCGAACAGGCCCGAATTGATTGATCTCTTATGTGAATACGCCGAGGTCGTTCCGCTGGATGGGTTCTTTATTGCCCTTTTTCCGGCAGTCCTGAAACCGTGAGCGAAACATAGCTTCATCACCGAGGGACGATATGATTGATTGGAAGTAGGATCGTAGCGCTCTTCTGCAAGGCTCCTCGACTCTCAGACCGATTGGTGAAGGTCGTCACAGAAGAAATTGCTAGGCGAGAATTGGAGAATAAACACAGGATCCCTCAGGACATGACAGATCGGATTGCCCAGTGGGTCAAAGACAATCCCGGTTATTCCATTGAATCCGCTGTCGTCCGGGTTATCGCGACATTCTTCGGGGGGATCCATACCACTACCCAGGTTGGTGCTGCACACTGAGGAATCGAGTACATGTTTCTCACATATTGTATGTTAGCTTACGGTTCATGCCTTACTTGAAATTGCAATCCGCCCCGAGTACGTGGATCCCCTGCGACAGGAGATCACAACTGCCCTCAAAGCCCATGGTGGATGGACCAAGAGTGCTATTGAGTCAATGACCAAGCTCGATAGCTTTATCAAGGAGGCTCAAAGATTCAATCCTTTAGATGCAGGTAAGTTGCCCTTCACAATGAGCTACGTGAATGATGATACTCTTATCTCAGGCTGACCGACGCTCAGCATCGTTGGCACGCCAGGCCACTCGGGACTTTCAATTCTCAAATGGCTTGAAACTACCCCGGGGGACTTGGGTGTTCGCACCCAATGGACCAATGCTGTTCGACGAGAGACTGTACCCAGATAGTAGTCAGTTTGATGGGCTGCGATTCTGGAAGTTAGCACAGCAGACCAAAAGGCCTCATGAATACCGACTGGTCGCAGCGAGTTCCACGTATTTACAGTTTGGTGATGGAAGACACACTTGGTATAGTCCCTACCGCCTTGTGGCTGCTTCAAATTTTAACCTTTCATATACCGACAGCCCCGGACGCTTCATGGCAGCCGATGAAATCCGACTGATTTTCGCCCATACCTTGTTTCATTTTGATATTGCCATCAAGAACCACGGGCCACGGCCCAGAAATACAACTTTCAAGAAGATATGTTTCCCTGATATGTCAGCAGAGATCATGCTCAGACCCAGAAAACTGCATGCCTCTCAAGGGAATTGAACGCCTATTTCATGAATTCCCTAATGTAACTGGTTTCAGAAGAGCGCCTGTAGGCTAGTCCAGTTCTAAGTCAGATCGAGGTCATAGCTACTCCAAGAAGAGACAAGCTAGGTAGTAATGAAGTGGAAGAGGTCTCTGAGTTGCTGTCACAAGCGATAGCTCCCAAGGCCATATATACTTGGTTACACAATACTCCTGAATAGGCCATATTCAACAGCTCTATGGCTATCTCTACTGCACTGAAAGTATCCCTTACAGCAGCTAGAGAGACTTTTCCAGTGCAAATTATTCCACAGAAGATAGAAGTGCAAAATGACAACCACCTCAAACTTTACTTCATGTATCATAACATGTACGCCATCCGAGCGATATTATAACTTTATTACAATTGAGTTCGGCGAATCTAACCTATCTCCTGTCTCCTATCTCTCAATAGGAACTCTATTTGACAGCTCCATGACTATATTCATGTTTCCCACGCAACTCCACGTCAAAGCCGATAGGAGAAGCGCCAGGATACACCAAACAGTCCCCATCCTGCCAAGCCCGCTATTTTTATAGTCATCCCATCCGTGGCAACAACGGTTGGGAGAGGGAAGATAGGCACACAATTCACCGCCAGCGATGGTCTTGGAGGCCATATCAGCCGGGAGATCCCCTGCATGAGGTGCATAGTAACGTCCAAAGAGGGTGTTGAAGACCCCGTCTCGAGCCTGGAATCGAACCAAAAATCGCGAAGTTTTATAGATCGAATTGACTCGAGGATGCCGCACCTCACGATACTGGGCCAGGAGTCTTTCAATCTGTGTATTGGTCGGAGGCTGTGTCTGCCTTTTCTGCAGCAAATCACTCAACAGGCTACTCAAGACCGCTGCGTCTTCAATGGCCATATTGGCCCCTTGTCCGATATTTGGTGTCATCTGTCGACCAATGAGGAGAATTAGCCTTCGCAAATTAAAGTGGCTTGTCAGTGGCGAAGGCCTACCTTGTGGGCACTATCGCCCATCAAAACCATTCGACCATGGTACCAGGTGTCAAAGACATTTTCTTCCAACGCCGTCATAGAGGCTGTCTCCCGGCTATCCCAGAGCTGCCCGAATGTGATATCTTTGAAGAATTTCTGCTCTCTCAGACGATTGACGATGGGGCCGATTTCTTTGGCCGTAAAGCGCGGGCATTGGGGATAGATATATTTCCGGTCGAGCTTCTGGATTAGGAACCAATAGACTCGACCCTGTTTACCATGGATCGTCACGATTGTAAAATGATCAAAGAAGGCATTCACCTGTTCTCCCACATTCAATCCTTTGATGGGAGTAGAGATGCCAAAAATACAGCTGTATTCTACCGTCATGCCTAAAAGATGCCAGGATTCAGTTAGGATCATGCATTGGTCGCCATCCGGGGATCATTGACTCACTTCTCTGTTCTCTCTTTGTGATCAAATCAGGTTTAATTCTCTGTGCAGACTTCCACATCTCTGAGCGAACTCTGCTATGGACGCCATCGGCACCGACGATAAGATGGCCCTTGTAGATCGTCCCATCTTCCGTGGTTACAGTGCTATCGATGGCGGAGCTCTCAATGCTGATGACCCTTGCGGCCAGCCGAATTCTACTCTTGTCTGGATAGTGCTGGTAGAGGATTTCAAGTAGCTTCTGTCGGTCGAGAAAGGCTATGGGGAATCCAAACCTATATGGCATTTAGAAACAGTATCAATAATGCAGGTCAATCGCAAGCAGTGAAGCCAAACCTTTCATTCACGAGTTTAGGATAGGAACTACTGAAGCTGAATCCATCCGGGTAGCCGATGGTTGCCGTTTCTAGCGGTTCGATATATTTTTCGATGGTTTCATATAATTGCAGTTGATCGAGCACTCGAGCACCATTTGGCAAAATACCAATTGAGGCCCCGATTTGGGGTGCTGGTTCGCTGGCCTTCTCGAGCACAACGTGACTAATTCCCGCCCGATGTAGACAATGAGCTAAAGTGAGGCCAGCAATCGAGCCGCCAACAATAATGACGTGGAATTGGTCTTTGTTCATGTTTCTTTGATTGAACCTCACGGGAAGGCTAACGCAGGCAGAGGGTGATGGAAACTAACATACAACGACGAATGGGGTAATAAGCTTGAAACTCGCCACGGTCAGCGAGCCTGCACAGATAGAGAAAGAAGACTATAGATCACTATGGCCAAGAAGACATGTACACTGCATGGACCAATATGGGAAGCACGTGTAATAATGTGAATCCTCGCGCCACTACATACATGTGAATTCACATTATGCTATGTACCATCATGACCCACCCCATATGCAATTACCTCAATCCAACATCTCACTTCGATTTGCGCCCTTCAGCTTCCTTGAGACACAATTCGTATTGGCGAACGTACCAGTAGCAGAGCCCGTAGGAACCATCGATCGTGAGGAAAAGCGCCAGGCTCCACAAAATCAGAGGGCTATTGAGCCAGGAAAAAGACTCGGGCCAGTACATCCAACGCAATGATGCAAATCCCACAGTGCAGGACGATCCGAGGAAGCGAGAAAGCCTAGAACAAATATTTAGAACCAACCTATGCCAACCTATGCCAAGGCCCTCGATGGTTACATACCATAACGTATACGAGGCCCCGCGCGTACTTCCACGACACAGTAGCTGGCAGAGTCCACCCACGCTGAGTAGCAGCTGGCATACCACAGCGCCCCACGAATATGCAAGGGAGTGGCCGATCTCCGCGGCGAGAGCGAGATGTCCGGTGAGAAATCCCAGAGTAGCCAGGAAGAAAATGAGAGACAAATTGCGCATGACCAGTGGGGCATGGCTCCATTCCTTGGGGGCAAATTTGATTGCCGCGTACATGACGCCAATGTTGATAGAGAGACCGGCGATGAACACACCTTGTTCCATAAGACTCTTGGACGGATATATCAAACTATACACGACCTCCCAGGCGATATTGCAACACAGAGGCATGATTGCCATCCCGTAAGTCTCGTCCTTAAATGATTGGTAAATCATTCCGACATAGTTGATCAGCCACCCAAGCCCCATTCCCAGGACAAAAAGGTCGGCAATGGGCTCCACGGCCCGATATTCGGGCGGAGCCTGGGAAACATCGAATCCATCCATGATTGAAATGAAGATAGTTGGTTGGTTTGTTGTGTTCTGGTCTTCTGATGCTGGTGGCAATCCCGAATTGCCCAGACAGGCTGCGCCGCTGCTTCTTATTCCGTGCGGTGGACGACACTATCGACGCTTCATGCTGTGCTTGGGCTCTCGCACACAGGAGGTAATGTGCAGTACTTCGTGCATACTCTTTTTTTGCAACCTCTTGGGGTAATTCAAGATAGTCCCCCCAACAGGAGACATGTTCCATATGGGCGTATTAACGCGAACGCGCAGATTATTTCTGTCCCTTGCTTCAACTTACAAACCCAAATAGTGATTTTTTTTTGCTTTTTGGATGCAGTTGGAGCTGAAGCACCCCATTCAGGAAGCCCATTAAATGCAACCTGTCGTCCATCACACCGCAATTTCGATATGGATTTCCTACATGAGAATTACTTTGTAAACACTCATTGCGGCTTCTCGGATAGTCTCCGGTACCTATCAAGTCCCATTTCTAGTTTTGTGTCGCATGATTCAAATTGCGCGGGATCTCTCTACCTTACCTCCCTCCTCTCGATTCCCAAACCCAGTATAATATGATCACCTTGCTAACGACCCCTCTGAGTGGATGGTCGCAGCTCTGGCTGTCGTACCTGACTCTAACCGTGGGTGCTCTGGCACCAATTGTTGTTCTCTATATATCTATTGACCGCTTCCCTCCGCCGCGGTGGTTATCGAAAAAAGCCCGATTGATCGGTCAGAAGGACCCAGCAAGCACGACATCCTTAGAATGTCCGTATAGCTATATTCGCCAGCTCTACGGCCATTATCATTGGGCTCCTTTCGTGCACAAGTTGTCTCCCACTCTCCACCATGATGATCCAGCCAAGTACAAGATGGTGCTAGAGATCATGGATGCCATCCACCTCTGTTTGATGCTGGTTGACGATGTACGTATCATGCCTCTGGAGATACCAAAGCCGATGCACCCCAATTCTAACGTTCCCAGATCTCCGACGGCAGTGACTTCCGTAAAGGGCGACCAGCTGCCCACCGCATCTACGGCCCGTCGGAAACTGCCAATCGCGCCTACTTGCGAGTCACCCAGATTTTGAATCAGACAACAATTAGATTCCCGCATCTTGCTCCCTGGCTGATGCAGGATCTCGAGAATATCCTCGAAGGCCAGGACCTATCCCTCGTGTGGCGCCGGGACGGCCTCAAGAACTTCCCGACTACTCCCTTAGAGCGACCAGCCGCCTATCAGAGAATGGCGTCTCTTAAGACAGGCTCACTCTTCCGACTGCTGGGCCACCTAGTGCTAGAGGACCGTTCGATGGATGATACCATGACCCTAGTCGCGTATGTGCCTGCCCCACCCTTCTCCTGCGGTCTCAATCCCTGACTGATGCTTGCTAGATGGTACTCCCAACTCCAAAACGATTGCAAAAATGTTTATTCAACTGAATATGCCAAGATGAAGGGGGCTGTTGCGGAGGACTTGTGCAATGGTGAGATGACCTACCCTATCGTGCTGGCCATGAACGCCCCCGATGGCCACTGGGTAGACCTTGCGCTGCAATCTCCTTCCCCCGGAACGTGCGGAATGCCCTGCGGGTGATCCGCGGCGATAAGGTGTATCAGATGTGCATGGCTGAACTGGCTGAGTCTAGCTCATCCATTCAAGACTGGCTGGCTCTATGGAACAGGAAAGAAAAGCTGGACTTGAAGTCGGTGTAAACAAAAAATGGCATTATGAAATAGCTGGAGAGTCTGTCTACGGAAAGATTTCGGGGTAGTATTCAACCATTCTATTGCATACACAGGGCTTGGCGGAATTTCTACTACGCAGAAATGCATACTTTTCCACTGATACAATCAACAAGGTTTGAACAATTGAATTATATGTATCTCAATCACGAAGTCATAACAGTTCTCTAAACTCCCGAAAAGGTTAGACATCACTTTAGAAGCATTGTGATCATAAGAAAATCCCCTATAGACCACGGTTGTGGAGATATCAAGCTGTAATTTATCGTATTTGCTATGTGTTTTGCGGTGATCCACTCGGTGGTGTGATCCATTTGGTAGTAATACGTTAGGTAATGCTATGCTCAAGCAGTATTCATGGATTCAGCACTGACAGTCCCTTACTTACGAGCGGACGCCATTGGCATTTAGTTCGCTTGTACTAGCTGGAGACGTGGATGTCGATGTGTATGGTCAACTTGTATTCACCCTAGGCGTCGGGGATTCGTAGTCTAAGACCACGTCCATGGTTACTAGAAATACTCTAGATGTATATATAACCGCACGAGACATAAAAGCTAGCAAATGAATACCCCAACAACCCGGGGAGATCAAAGGGGTCGTGATGTGGTTCTTTTCCTAATGAAGATCGGCGTGGACACATTCGGGACAATCTTGTCCCCGATCACCATGTTCTTGGGTCGTTCCTTCTGATCAGGAGCAAATCGGAAGTCATAGTCGGCGATGAATCGGCTAAGGATGGCCTTCATGACGAAGGCGGCGAAGAACCGGCCGGGACAGGCATAGCGGCCAAGCCCGAAATGCATATTGCTGACGCCGGTGCTGACGAAGCCCGAGGTTGGTCGATTCTCCTTGACGAAGCGGAAGGCATCGAACGCGTCCGGGTCCGACATCACATCGGGATCCCGCGAGATGGGTCCCGCCGCCATGCAAATGTGCGTGCCGTTGGGGAGGAATAGACCATCTGAAAGGGTCAAATCATGCTTAACGACACGGTGAAAAGAGACTGCCGGGTTCTGCGTCAATATAATCCCCAAAGGATCGTCGGGATGGATGACTTACGCTCCCCGGGAGGATTGAATCGTTGCGATTCCTTCAAAAAGCTGTCCATGCCCTTAAGCCCAAGGAGGTGGGCCTGCGTGGTGCTGTGCCAATCGGGGTTGACCTGCTGGATCTCGTCGCGGAGAGGCTGGAGCCATTGTGGCATGACCAGCAGGTCGTATAGAACATGCGTGAGACTCATGGCGCTCGTGTGGACAACCGCCATGCTGGTGATTCCGAGAAGTCGCTGAGCCAGGTTATGTGGATGTGACTCCTGCTCTGTCTTGGCGAGGTCCATCATCCACTGCAAAAAATCGTCAGGTTTTTCATAATTGGGGTCCCCTGACGATTCCATCGCCCGGCGCTGCTCGATGAGAGGACCTAGGAATTCATTCTTGATATAGGCAAGCTGATGATTCAAACTCCGACTGCTGGGTAAGACTCGCCCGACCACGGGATGGAGAAATCCAGGAACTGGCCGCAACAGCCCAATGGTCACGAAGATGTTCTTGGTGTAGTCAATCGAGGCCCTCAGCCATTGTTCATCCCGGCACAGGGTCTCTCCGATGAAGACGCGAGCACCCACCCTGGCTACGAGACGCAAGAAGACTTCGTATGGGTTGATTGCCACCCACTTGCCTCTCGTCCCAGTACGGTTAGTCCAACGTGGATGCATACGGCGTGGGTTAGGGATCTGGACCTACCGTCACACTCGGGAAATTCCACCTCGTACGCGTGGTCAAGCTCAGAGATAATACGAGGGATTAGTCGGCCTGCGACAGGGGTTAGCGATGGGCTTTCCTGACATCCACCGGGGCTTCTACCGATTGCCGGGGTCAACCGCTTTTGGATGGTCTCAGTGTGCAGGTGGCTGTCGGTAAGAATGGTCGTGTAATCGCCGACATGATCCTGGTGCCATGTGGTTCAATGTCGTGCGAACGTCAAGGGAACGGGGGTAGCGCTCTTACTGTAAAGGTGGCCTCGAGGGCATTTAGAGTCGATGCAGGCAATTGCCGTAGCTCCTCGGCGTACCGGGTGGAGAGGACCACGAGATCGCCATCGGCTTTCAGCACCTTATATGCCTTCTTCTTGTACTGCATGGGCATTAACACCCATGACAAACGCGCCTTTCTTCGTACTTACTTGCTTATAACCGTCATAGATCACCGAGGCTGCCTTGGTATTGAAGAACAGACGGTCCACCTGGTCAGGTATCCAGCCTCCCAGATATCTTACCGTCGGGACTTTGACATTGGTGCGGTAGGTTGGGTTGGGGAGGATCAAGTAGGCCAGGACCACCAAGGCCACGGAGATCCAGACTATCGGGACCTCACCGCGGACGATTTGTCCAACATACTCAACCTGGGATACCATGGCGATATGGGAAAGAGAGGTAAGTTCACGTCGGAATGAAAGGGAGGAAGTTTGTGGGTCGGACCTCGTTACTATTGGCGCTTGAAGTATTGATTCAGATAGCGGATCCTAATGAGCACTTCGATTCCATCGGTGGTCCAGTCACATGCAAGGCGTTCAATCACCCTGGTTTCTGTATGCAACAAGTCGCAGTCTAGTGCCTTGACCGCAGTAGCTGTCCTGTATCTCTCAATAGTTCCAGATTGCAAGCTGCAGCCGGTACATGCAAGATGCAAAGAACCATGGAGGTGGCTCCAGGGCAAAGTTATATTCATTATTCATGTGCACACCGCCATAAGGGAAAGATCAGATATATGCCTCACTGGCTTTCTTTGTATAGCTCTTCTTGCATGAGCCGTGGTAAGCCTCCATCCGGCCGCAGCACGGGCACTGCATTCAACTAGAGTACCATATCTGGTGGAGAAAGGATACATTATTGGAAGGAGAAATTTTCCTCTTTCTCACCCTGGCTTGTGAAGTACCTCACATCCGCCCAATTGATCCCTGCTCCCCACGGAGAACGGCTAAACCCTAGCCTGATGCCGTTCAGCCTCCATTTCGGGTCTCACAGGGTATCTGGGAGACATTTTTATATCTCCTGCATTGGAATTTGACGTTAGAAACTACAATGAAAAGCAAAGTGGGGATATAGTACGAGTGCCTGAGTCACACAATCTTGATTCTGTGGCACCACTTGGGCTTACATGCCATCGGATAGTTGGCCGAATGGTGAATAACATCATGACAGAGACGAAGAGAGGTCCATATGAAAGTGGTTCATAAAAGGAGGCACACTATTTCTGAGCAGCTACGTGGACAGATCACGCAGCAAACTCCCGTGCAAACCAAGCGCGAACGGTGTTCAAAGAGGGCGATTCCTGCGGCTCTTTATAATTCTGGACAGCGCTCGCTTTGAGATTCTTAGAAACCTGATCATCTGTGGCTTCTCGACCAAAGTAGTGCCCTTGGGTCTCTTGAGTAAATCCGAACATGGATTTTACATCCTCGAATCCGTGGTTTCCTGAGGCATCAAACGCCTTCCAGGTTGGTAGTACCGGGTGGAACCGTGTTTTCTTACCGGTCACTAGGCGTTGCGAGCATGTCAGTTTGATGTAGAGCATAAAAAGGTCAAGTGCGCTTACCTTGTGCGAACTCCTCTGTCATTTTATGGTAATTCGTGATCTCGCTCATGGCTTGCACTACCTGAAGATGATACTCTGACGGAGAGAGGAAAACACCGTGAACAATATCGCCGAAGTCATCCGCAACGCTAAGGAAGGGGATTCGCTCATCGCCACCCCAGTACGGTACCTTCCATGTCAAATATTCCTCCGCATCAGTCTCCCATGGGAACCCCCCCATGATGGATGCGCCCTGCTTGAAAAGGAAATTCTCTAGAAAGTACCCCGGTATGATGGGAACAAGATTTTCAAAGGCGCTCGTGGAGCGGGCATACTTCTCGATCTGGTTCTTCGCTGGGAGATGGTTAGCTGTCAGAGCTGTATCCAAGATGACTTGTCTAAACGGAGCCTCCTACTGTCGAGATGTCGGAGAGAAACCGTGCCCTTGGTTAGCTCCGTACAGGCCGCTCCGGTGCTATAGACCAAAGTCCTCACACCAGCCATGATGGCACTGTCTATGATTCTTCTGCCATAATCAAATTCGGTGGGACCCCTAAAATCCCAAAAGACCTGAGGACCATCCTTTTAGCTTTAAAACTAGGAGCATAGGGTTGCCGAAATCCACTTACCGGGTCGTCCGAATTGATATTTAGGAAAACCCCCACGATCCTTGGAAGGCCTCGGCCATCTGGTTACTCTGTGATCCATCCGCCTGGACAAGACTAGCCCCCAGAGTCAAGAGTTCCTGCGCTGCAACGGAGTTGGGATCTCGAGTGATTGCCCGCACTTCGAAGGAATCTGGAGCGCGGAGCAAAGACTTCACCACCGACCGGCCTTGATTACCGGTGGCTCCATATACCGTGACCAGCTTTCGTGTCTGGGCCATGAAGAAACAAGTGCGTGGGGTTCCTGAGTGTGAGGAAATTGTACTGGTTTGGTCTCTGGCAGTGATAAGGCACTCGTTGCAGTACCTCAAAGTTGGTCGTAATTTACTCGCGGAAAGATTAGCTCACAATATCCTTAATTCCCGCTGGAGAAAAAGCCATGCTAAGACCGAAAGAGGAGGGCTAGGCCAGCTCTATATCTGTTCTGTCACCGCCTGCAATAGGGATATCAAGTTGGGCTGGATGCTACCTATACACTCCTCGCGACTCGAAAATACTTCAACAGGCAGGCCCTAGATGAGTAGTATTCTGCCAGCAGCATCTGAATCATCTTTTCTACTACATTCTACCACTATATAGATTATACGAAATAGAAACAAGATATGGTCTCTGAAAAGATAAACCACAAGAACCCAAAATAGTCCGTGGAAAGCCCTACCTCTGGACTTGCGGGAAGCTTACCGCCTTGGTGTGCCGGAGGCGACAAACAATTGCCGGATAACCCGACTTCCAATTAGTAGCACCGACCAGCTGACTGACGGTGAAGCACCTTGTTTACCAAATTTAGACCTGAGACGAATGCATATTGTGTTCTTTCTGTCGACGCGTCAGATCGTCCCAGCGACTAGCTGAGTGGCGGTGAAGAAGCGAATGCACAATGCGTCCTCTCTAGTCGACGCATCAGATTTCCAATGACCAGCTGCCTGGCGTTGAAGACGCACCTTGCTTGCCAATATATAGAGCTTATATTAATACATAATGCATTCTCCCCAATCGGCCTATCAGCTTGGCTGGATGATGTGAGACCCGAGGATACAAGTGATCACTGATGTGGAAATACCTGAGATGCATCAGCAAGGCCACGAGATTAATATCACGCTCATGCAAAGGTTCCCAAGCGTCTCATTTATGTGAGAATATATGCTTTGTCCAAAATACGCTGCATATGGACATTTCCCTTATTGGGTTGCTGGGCTGGATGCACCGATGGCGGCTGCGGTCACACGGTTTTATTCAGGATGCAGATGTAGACACTAGCGAAGATCGACCCTGAACAGACGAAAGTGGCCGTGCAAACCCACTGAGTGCTCTTGATCCCTACATTTAAGGCTGTTTTGGTATTCCGCGGTCGTTATTTCAGGCGCCTCAAATAAAAGGACCGAGACCAGAGCTACTCCAGGCCTTCCTAGTGAAGACTATTACCATCACTGAAGGTACAACTTTCTCCCTCAAAACAAGCAGAGGTAATCGCTGTGATGATGTCCGATGTTAACGCCTGGTGGGTGGGCGGATCCCTGCTACTGGGGACTTGGGCCATCGTCGTATTCTTTTCTCCGGATCCCTTGGCTCAGTATCCATGCATCAATAGTAAGCGACCGGGGGAATTGTTCTACACGAAATCCAAGATTCGCTTCATTACCCAGGCGCGCAGTCTGCTGAAGGAGGGTCTCTCCAAGGTGCGCTCCCTTTCCCCTCGCAGTGGTCTTGGCTGATGTATCTATATTACTCGTTCACGGTAGACGAACAATGCGTTTCGTCTGGTAACAAACAACCGAATACTGCTCGTACTCCATTCCAAGTATCGGCATGAGCTTCGTGATCACAAGAGTCTTAACAATGCAAAGCCGCCCGAGGATGTACGTGTAACTTCCCGTAACTTCCCAGGCAATTAGTATGGGGTAGCCCTAATTTAATAGGATTTCTTCGGCTGGCTTCAAGGCTTCGAACCCTTCAACCATGAGAAGACAAATCCCAAAGTCTTTGCAGCCATGGTACGAACCAAACTGACTTCCTCCATTGGTGAGCGCATTCAGTTGAGTTTGTACTCTGTGGTGCACAAAAGCTAATGGCGTATTTCCTAGGCGCATTGGGTATTCCGCTCTCCGAGGAGACAGACTTTGTTCTCCGTCAACAGCTCACGGATAGCTCAGGTGAGAATCTTGAAGGAACGAGTCTGGGAGAACTGGATAGACCTAACTGTAAAAGAATGGCATCCGATCAATGTGAAGGAGACTTCCCTCCAGCTGGTGGCTCGCCTCTCCGCAAGAATCTTCCTGGGCCCCCAAGTCTGCCGGAATCCGGCCTGGATAGGGATCATGATTAACTACACTGTCGAGGCATTTATGACCGCTGAGAGTCTTCGAATGTGGCCTCGCTGGTTACTCTGGCTGGTGCATTGGTTTCTGCCCTCCTGCAAGAAGTTACGCAGCCAAGTCCAGGAGGCGCGCGGCATTATCTCACAAGTTCTAGAGCAACGAGAGCGAAACTCGAAAAGCGCCTTTGTTGAAACGGAGGCGAGGGATGAGGTGGACACTGTCCAATGGCTGGAGGACTGTGCTAAGGGAGGCTACTATGACCCAGCCCTGCTTCAGATGGGTCTGGCAGTCGTGGCGACTCATACGAGCGCAGACCTTTTATCACAGGTTATCTTTGACCTCTGCGAACATCCTGAGCTACTTCAGCCACTACGAGAAGAGATTGTCATGGTTATTACCCAGCACGGTTGGAGTAAGAATGCGATCTACAACCTCAAGCTTCTAGATAGCGTCCTGAAAGAAAGCCAACGACTGAAACCAATGCAGATCGGTCCGTATACCCATTTCCTACCTTAACAATGATGTGACTGAGATGAGATCTCGGAGTTAGTTTCTCTATATCGTTACGTGACGGCAGAAATTACACTGAGTGACGGGACCCTCATTCCCAAAGGAACCTATATCGCCATGATCGATGACCACTCCCTGGACCCGAACTCTTCTTACACCAATGGGGATCAGTATGATGGCTATCGGTTCATCAAAATGCGCGAGGTGCCAGAGCGAGCTCATCAGACGCAGCTGGTCTCAGTCTCATCGGATCACACCGGCTTCGGCTTTGGCAATCATGCCTGCCCTGGACGCTTCTTTGCGGCTACGGAATTGAAGATTGCTCTCTGTCATCTGCTACTCAAGTATGACCTGAAGCTTGGTGATCAGAAGCCGCAAACTATGACGTATGGGTTTGGGCTTTCCAGCGATCCGTTTACGCAAGTCAGCGTTCGCCGCCGCCAGGAGGAGATCTCATTGGCCAACGGTGAAAGTTGATAATAACAAGAGTGAGAGCCTGTATTGAAAGCCACACGCGGATATATTCACTGGTACATCAGGGATGGCCTAAGATATTTGACTGTAGTGGATATAGTTATCTGTGGCGAGCAAATTCAGCTTGCCCTAGGCTTGCCAGACCAGGCGCAGCTTGCTGGAAGGATCTAGATAATTTCTCTTTTTTTCCTTTGTCGGCCTGTCTATATAGACGGGCCTAGTAGCTAATGAAATATCATCCGCTTTGTTTTCTCTCTCTTGCTACCATATACGAAATCATGACCACGACTTGGCGCAACCATGCTTTAAAAGAGTTAAAATATATATTGTGCGTATAGAGAATTACCGTGGCATTCCGAATATTTAACGTTTATTTCGATAACTTGAATATTCATAGAGTTATGGTCGTTTGAATCTGATCATATTTGAGGCCAATGCGCTGATATAAGCATACACTAAACCTATTTGAATTTCGTGGTCAAAACTAAACCTCTTTCGGAACACAACTTACTTTTATCTGATAGATTCGATTTTACGTTCGATTGCTATGCTAACTGGATTTTCTCGGGGCCCCTATTCGTATCATTGAAAAAATAGAGGCCTTTCTCGCCGCAGAAGTTCGCATCGAGAATACCCCTACTAGCTTATTATAGCACCACTATCAGACGCTCTAACACGAAAACGAGGACGACCGCGAATATATACGTCTGCTTAGGCAAAACAAATATTAAATGCTACGCAACAGCGGAACCGGCGACAGTTTACCCGCGCTGTATATCGTGACTAGCAATTCGACTTAGGACTTCACGGAATTTCTAGTCACAATCAAGAAAATACCTAGTAATAGCCATAAAGGCCTATTAAAATAGCGAAGTCTAACAATTAAGCGTAATCGAGATCTTTGCACCTTTGGGTAGCGCCGATAGAACCTTTTCTTGTTCCTCTTTTACTATTATCTAAAGCCGACGTCGTGTAGTCTTAGGAGAAAGTAAAGCTAGTATAGAATTAGATAGCTAGGCTTCGGCGATTAGGTCTTAGAAATCATAGTGCGCGAGAAATTGGAATAGGAGCGAGGATTTAGCAATTAACGTGACTTATAGACGATTCCACCGATCGATATCGAATGCCCTTTTTGAAGATTAGGTATATTAAGCCTATTAGTAGAGGTAAACTATTAGTATTACTTCGAAATTGGTAGGCAAGAGGTATTGATACCGCTAATTCTAACGATTCATGAATATTTCTTTGCTTCGAATTTATTAAAGAAGACCGTTGACATTTGCCTACTTTGATATAACACTTTATAGAATTGGTTCTATTCGAGGTCCACTAAGGGTGAGGAAGTGCCTACCCACACTTCCGGTATAAAACCATTGGCTCGCCAGAAGTGTGGTAGGCGACTTAGTCAAAATAATCCCAAGCGTTCGAGGTACGCTTCGCTTCCTAGCGAAGTAGGTACGGTGTCTCCCCTATCTATGTTTATATCCACTATTGAATAAAATAGTCTTTATTTATTTCGGTTCGGATTATCCAGATTTTCTTATTCGGGGGGCTAGCGCGTTCGAGAGTGAGAGGAGCAATAGTAGGGGTAGCGAATTCAGAATTTGGTAAAGAGGTAGTTATTTGCTAGCTATCGAAGGTTTCGAAGAAAAGGGTTTGATTATCTAAGAGGAGTGAGGAGAAATTAGGTATATCACTCGGGATCTGTAAGGAAGTGCCGGCGTTAGAAAACCGACTTGATTGAGATATATTGACTTTAGTATCAGAATAGGAAGGAGAAGGTCTTACTAAGTAAAGTCTATATAGGCGTGATAGGAGGTATAATGTTAGGAAGAGAGGGGTATTAAAAGATGTATCATAAAATAAATAGTAGCCCTATAATAGATAGTGGTATAATTGGTAGGCTCGATAGGAATTCCTATTTTAGTCCTATGGGAATTCCTATAGGACTAATTACCCCTGTCGGAAAAGACTTCCGGTGAATAGGTAGTAAGAGTTTATAGAAATACTTTGACTATAGAAGACGTTAAAGAGCCTAGGTACTAAATATAAAAGGAAAGAAGGGAGGAAGTAACCCAATAATCTAATAGACGATAATATTACTTTAAGAACAATTATACTAGATGCTTATAAAAGCTTGAATCCTCCGACCTAGGTCAAACGAAGGCCTTAGATATATATTGAAATGGGGATGGCACGATGGCAGTCTGACATAGCAAACGGGTCGATACTAATGAAGAGATCACACAACCACTCCCATGGCCTGAAGGCGTAGAGAGCGGTCCCTGAAGGTGTAAATCGTACCGAACCTGATGCTATATCATGAATCAAGAAGTTTTGCGAGTAACTGTAGTCATATTGAGGTTGTTGGATCATGCTCCTCTCTCTCTGTAGGAGAAGACTGCATGTCTCTTGAGGCATCTATGATGCCTCAGGCCATTAAAATACTACTGTCACGGGATTCACCACTACAATATATATATTAGTGGTGGGACCACTATATATAAACGTTACACCTTTATTAATTGCCTCACTTTCTGACTTATCTTAGAAAGAGAGGCTCTAGATAGCAAGATTCAATCGCAGATTTTCAGACTTAAGTCAGAATATAAGGTCCCTTCTATAGTGAAAGTGAAATTGTTATGATCGAGCTAGTGGCCCCTTGATTTTCAATTTTTTTTTGTTAATTTACAACTTTTAATACTAGTCTATCTATATCACCTATTATTTATATCCTAGAAAAAGAAAACGATCGAGTCTTCGGACCAAGAATTAGTGTCGTAGGAACCTTTAAAAGACGACTAATCATAGTCCACGTCTAAATTAGACTTATCAGAGAGGGCTAGCTTCTCGAAACTAGCGCAAGGGATAGGCCAGTTATCACACGCCCCGTCCCTAGACCTTGACATTTCCCATGGGACTTAGTCCCATGGGAATTCCTACAGAGGTCTAGTCCCGTGGACCCACTCCCATGGGAGTAAAAAAAAAATTTGGTCCCGCCATGGGAATTCCCGTGGGACTCCCATGGGACTAAAAAAATTTCCCATCTATACATTATTTTCATAATAATGATGGATAAATCGCTGAGTTATCATGATAGAATACGGTAATTTAAAGGTGTTTCAGCGAGTATCCAAACCAACCAAGTATTTATTATTTTTGATACATTCCGACCATAATTTTGTGATTATTTAGTATAGCTTTAGTATTATTTAATATGAACATTCGTTACCTTGATCCTATTTTTTCACACTTTCTGACTTACCTTAGAAAGTGAGGGCTGACATAGAGATATTATACCTAGTAACCTTCAATTTAAATCAGAAAGCGAAGCTTTTATAAGCATCTAGTACACCTATTCCAATATCAATATTCGTTATCTAACTATCCTTAATACTAATCTATCACATTTTCTAACGTATCTTAGAAAGTAAGGGCTAAAACAGAGATATCTATGTGAAAGAAACTTCAATTTAAATCAGAAAGTGAAGCTTTTCTAAGCATTAAGTAAACCTACTCTAATATTATTATATTACTAACGATATAAATTGGCTAATACAACACTTATTCTAATTCTCTCTTCTTTATAATTTAATAGGAGCTACTAGACGGCAAGACTCTAGTTAACCGCACCGGCGGCTCGGAGCCGCCGGCTCCTAGCCGATCTCTAGAATAACGAGGATCATATTTTCCGCAAGGTCAAGCTCCGTGTTGATAAGGTCTAAGGCAAGAACTACTTGACTAACTTCTATAGTCTACTACAAAGTCGTCGTTAGGGTCAAGTTTATCGCACTATTAACACATTGTCTTTAATATTATCACTGTTTTATTGCACACCACACTACAACTAACTTAAATAAACTTCTTTTATAGATACTATATATATGCATATTCTTGTGTAGAGACTATACTAAAGACATAAATCGACTAATATCCTATACCTAGACTTTCTAACGTCCGTTAGAAAGTAAGCTTGTAGAGGTTAATAACCTCACAAGTGCTAGATTGGAAGGTATATATACGAAGTCCTCCCCCTTTTCAAACCTTATCTTCTATTTTCCCCACCCTTATCACTACTATACGTGACGTCCATCAGAATTTGAGGCTCTTTCTACCCACCTACCTTTGATACCTCTTAGTCTACCTTTTTGACGTCCGTCAGAATTTAAGGCTATTTCCTACCTACCCACTATTAGTATCCTCTCAGCCTATATTTCTGACGGACGTCAGAAATTAAGGCTATTTCCTACCTATCTACCTTTGATATCCCTCAGCCTACATCTTTGACGGCCGTCAGAATTCAAGGCTTTTTATGAATCATCACTAACACCGTCATAGCATCCTTACTACCAACACTATCGCCGTTCTATTATTTAACCACTAGAATCACCCTTCTTGTATCTCCCCGCGTTATACACTATTATGGCTTCAACCCGCCGCTCTAAGCTAGTTGGTAATATCAACTATGCTCCTGATTTTATCACGGCTATCGAGAATTTAGCCTCAAAGCTTGCTAGTTGTTATAGTTTCCTAACTATAGCCTCTCTGCACAAAATCTATAGCCTCGACCCAAACTTTAAACACTCTCGCGATATCATCGATCAATTCGCCGCTAATCGTGCCAACTCCTTTGATTATCTAAATCTCTCCGCTAGCTAGAAGCAGATCCGCTTCTCTATTATCAAACACGCCTTTAATAATGCCCTAAAATAGAGTCCTGCTCTCGCTAACTCTTAGCGCCCTACGGTTAGAAAGCACAATATCGATGCGTCCTACCTCTTCGAGATTCGCACACTTTAGTGGATTGTTCGATTGATACGCACCCGCAATACCGATATATTTAAGGCATCCTAGGTCACTAAATCCCCCTTCTCGTTTGACGCCAAAGAGGTTCTATATGCATAGAAGACTCTTATTTTCTTTGCAAACAATATCAAGAAGAACAAGAATTATATTAACACGGTACCCTAGTCTTCGCAATTAGCCGTGCCCAAACTTCAGAC